TGGTGGTGTTGGGTTGACGGTTGGACTCGATGATCTTAGAGGTCTTTTCCAACCTCAATGATTCTGTGATTCTATAGGTGAAGATTTGAATGAAGATAAATTCCCTGAGGCTTAGTTCATATAGCGCCTTTAGGATACTTATGGGAAGGAATGATATTTGTCCCTATTGTTAACTAGATCAAGTCTCCATGAAACTGAAGTTCTCAGTTGAAGACTATTGGCAGAATTCTTTCTTTTCTCCACCAGGTACTGCTGGAGGCCAAAAAGGTACTTACTTCTATCTGTACCGTGCCAGACAGTTAAAACTGCATCTGCATTTTACGGATTTTGCTGTAGTTATCCATCCTTTAATAAAATTATTCTTGAATCTTTAGAATTAAAAAAATAAAACGTTTAGCTACTGAGAACTTTCAAATGCAAGATGTTAGTTATGATAACTGCTTCTTTGAAACCTATTTCCTTCTCTTTGACTTTCTAGGTACAATTCAAAATATTGGTAATACCCTATAAACCTTGAATGTTCATTTGATTCCTTGGCATGAGGGAAACCCTTTTTCTTTTAAAATTGCATCTTGTCAGCTCGGGTGCTTTCACTGAAAATGCTGCAGTCTTCTGTTTTTAAGGGATGTATTTCTGTTAGAATCTCAGTAACTTGATTCTATCTTAGCTTACCTGTGGCAGGCTGTTAAACGGTTTGTCAGCCTTCAAGCTATCGTCAAAGGCTCATTTTTTCCCTAGGTTTTATCTGCAAGTGTTCTATGGTGGGGAGAGGATGACTGCAAATAATAGTTCATTTTGTTGGAAAGTCCTCTAATGTTAACTGTAAACATAGTACGCAGCTCTTCATTTAGGTAGAGCAGGGAATAAGTAATGTGTATCTAGATTAAAGCAAAAACCCACACCCTTGTGTTACAACAGCTATAAAAGGGGAAAGGATAGCAGATTTCAGTGAGGTTTATATGTTCTTTAAGAACAGAATAACTTCTATTGTTTGAGTTCATAAACTCATGAAGAGGCTGAGAAAAGAAGTTAAACCACTGAATCCTGTTTGGTTTGTGTACTTAATGGATGCCTATAAATAATGTTCCACTTAAAATTGTTTAGTAAAGACATATGAGTGTTTGTATTTTTAAGAATGCTCTCCAGAAAGATACTCTGTTTTTATCTTAACTACTGTTTTATTTTGCTCTGAAACTAAACCTTAAAAAATAAAAAAAGAGAAGGGGGAATAAAAAAGTAAAAAAATCTTAAATATTTTACAAATAATGTAACCTCTTTTGAACAGGTGTGACACCACAGAAAAACTAAAAGCTTTATTGCCAAGACTGGAACAAGAGCTAAAGGATCCAACAAAGTTCAAAGATTTTTATCAGTTTACTTTTAACTTTGCTAAAAACCCTGGACAAAAAGGTCTAGGTAAGTAGAAAATATCTACAGACAGTGAAGTCAATTCCAAATACTTCCAATAATACAGTTTTCTCACTGATGATTGTATAGTAAATTCATTATTGATTTCTTTCGCTGACTTCTCTTTCCCATCTCTTCTTTAATGTCCCCTTGGTACAGATAATTTAATGGGGTTTTCTGCTAGTATTGACATTCTCTCTCCTCTTGTCAAAGGAAGTTCCTGCGGTTCTTACAGACCTGTCAGAATTTATTTTTTTTTAAAAAGACTGAGCTAGTGAGCTCCTTGTGTTTTCCATTTTGTTCAGAACAACTGAAACAAGATGTCCATATTGGCTTAAAAAGAGGGAGAAAACTCTGGGCAAAAGTTATTGTTCTTCTAAGAATTTTTAGTTTTAGCTCACAATTTTTATGTAAAGTTTAGAAAAAGAGTATTATGGACTTGGTTCAAAGCTAGTGAATAGAAATAGGCATACAGTTTATAAAGTATTAAATTATTATTCTTTATAAAGTTTGAGATTTGTCCCAATCAATGCCTTGTATTGCTGGAGTAAAATTGATACATTATTTAAATTCCAATGGTTTATTCTCTTCAAATCAAAAAAATCTATAGTTTGTGAATAGGTGAAAAAAAATTGCAAAATGAAATCTGATATCCTTTGACATTTATGTCTACTTTCAAAAGAGACTGTGTAGGAAGGAATTAAACTGTTTTGTGTGTAGAATAGCACCGTACCATCATCACTGTTCTCTTTGTGCTGTGGGTAAGAGGAAGTGGGGGTTTTTTAGCATAGCCACTTTAACTCTGTGTCTACATTACTTGGCAAGCACGTTAATACATACTTTTTTCTCAAAAATTGTTGGAAGAGTAGTGAGGTGAAGGAGCAGAATATTGCAGAATATTTTTAGACCTTTTAGACCCTCTCAACTAGAGGCGTCTGTTCTACATCCTTTCTTGGGAATTACTTTGAATACTATCTCTTGCCTTTCCCAGTGTCTTTTTTTTTTTTTTTTTCCTTTTTTGAACTGTTGGCAACTTTTAGCCAGTTTCCGTTTTTCTTTATTTTTTGCAGCAATTTCATTTTTCATTACATGTGTCATTCTTGCATGGGTCATATGCCACCTTTACAGACACAAAAATGAAATAGTCTTGTAGTGGTTCTGTGAGGCTGGTTGGAATTCAAGTCCCTTAGTAGTTGTTCATTTTCTTGCCCCTCCTCATTAAAAAACCTAGTACTTTCAGATTGCGGAAAAGGTAAGTCAGTTACAGCTGAGGTTGGAATTTATGGGATACCTAAAGAAATATTACAAATGGCTTCCTGTTTTAATTGGATCAGTTCCAACGTGAAACTCATGTACTTGGGAAATAGGTCTCAAAAGCTTTTCACCTAAGCCTGTACAAAGAGAGGAGAAGGGAAGGCAGCCCAACCCAGATTATGGAACTGAATGTACTATTTATTTGACGTGAGGAGGAAAAAGGAAACTTACTTGTTTTCCATTACTTCTGTTTGTTTGGTATGGAGGCCCTTTCATTTGTAAGTCTGTCTTCTCTGTTGTGTAAGAATGGTACTTTTTGGCAATAAGATGCCTAAGTGCCTCCTTGCGCTAAGAGTTGTAGTATTAGCAGGAGAAAGTAAGAAGTGCAAAAATTAAAATTAAGCTTAAAATAAACTGTACAAAGAGTTGATTGGAACTGTTGCTGATTTTAGTTTTCAGGAATTTTAATAATTCTGGTAGTACTTACTGTTTCTTAATTTCATGTAGTGCTTAGTTCTTACATGGCAGTATTTTGGTATCATTTTTCGTCAGACTTTTTCTGGTTTTGTTAAGATGATTCTAGATATTAAATAAATATAAGCAGGTGCCACTGCTCTTATTTCAGTGGAGATAGACCATATTTCTGTCTGGTGTGAACTTGGATCACTATAGGTCGAGTAGAAAGAGAGTGCTGAGCAAGCGTATTGACTAATATGACATTTTTGAGTGATTGAGGTCAGTGATGGCTTATGCAAATAAAAATTAACACTGTATAGGTTTGGAGTTGGAATCTTGTCGGGGAATGCCGTTATATTCAGTGGAGCAGAGAGATGGAGGAAAAAAATAAGTTTACAGGTTGGCATTTACAACGTACTGCTTCCTGCTGCAGTTATTCTAAAAGTTATGTTTGTTCTCTTTCAGCAAAAAAGTGTTCAGCAAGGAAAAAAATTCAGTCATTTATCTTACAGGAGTGTCTGTATGAGCTGAGAATTCTAGTTGGTTCAGCTACGTTTAATATAGGCTTAGGTGCTTTTTTTGTTTTGCATCCTCTTCTCTGTACACACTATGTATTTTCTCCTAGAATGAGAAGCTGTCCATCTTCCCCCCGACTCTCCACAACTAACGTAGAAGTGTTTGGTATTTGTGTCCCAAGGACTGTGTGCCCTATTGTCAAGGAGATGCAGGAGTTTATCTCATACATGTACAAAGTCTGTTTCTCTCTTACTAAGTTTGGAGACTTGGCTTAGGATGCTTTTATGAATTCAGTCCAGATAGTTAAACAGAATGTATAATTAGATTTGTTACCAAATGAGCTGGTATAAATCTCCGCCTAGCTCTGTCTAGGTCATCTTAGGGTGTTGACCTCCCCTTGTTCCCCACATGCGCGTTAGATGACATGCAGTGCTACTTAAGTATAGGATGCTGCTAAGCTACTGCCCTAGCTGCTTGCCTTAAAATGTTTCTGGTGGCATGCTCCCATGACAGTGCTTGCCTACTCATTCCCATACGTTCACTTTTGAATTATGACTTGAAGACTAAGAGGTCAGTAAGCTTATGTCAAGTAGGGATAAAAGTGAATGGTTTTAATTAATGAAGTGGAAATAATCAAATGAATTCTTTCCTGACTTTCAATTACAAAATATTTTAATGTGATTTTTCTGGAGTGTGAATTATCCAATGCTTCCTCTTATTACACTCGGAGCTTAAATCACCAAGTCTGGTAGTTGTTGCACTCATTGTTTAGGGGGGTGATCTGTAGGCTAAAAGAATATTGCTTGATTCTCAGGTATACACATGACCTATGAATACACATATTTGAAAACTAAGCAAATTTGACGTAGTGCCAGTGACAAATGGGAAATTCTTATTCTTAGCAGATTGTTAATAAAAACTTTTTATAAAAGAAGACATAATTAAAATGGTCCTTCTGTTGGAGGAGCACTTCAGGCTAAGTGCTAATGCATTTTTTTTTTTTTAACAGAAATAACTCTTGAGAATAGAGCTCGCCAGAAAAATGTCTGATAGGCAAAGACGACTCATTTATGCAATTATTTTTCATGTTTATTATCTTAACATATTGAAACTATAAGAAATTACTGAAATACCTCTAAAATGTCCAAACAGCGATGCTTTGGTTATGAGTCATGTGCATTGCTCTATCAGTATTTTAATGTTTCAGATTACTTTTTTTTTTAAATTTATTCCTGCTGTTTTAAGAAGTGTTAAGCAGCAGTTATTACTTTATTTTTTGCCCCATCTCCCCCTGAAGAACATCAGGAAATACAGTGATTCATGGGTTCCTTTTTAATATGCCAGGTGGTCTTTAAATCTAAAAGATAGAGAAACACTTATATAGTGTATTCCCTTGTGCCAGACAGGATCAACATCTACCAAAACCATTCATCACAGATGTTTTTCTAACCAAATGTTCGGTGATGTGCTAGCAATATATACTAACTTGCCTTTTCAGTTTCAGTAGTTATCAGCAAGGTTTGAGATCTGATTGGCAGTGGTCCTCTGTCTGAAAAAGTTTGGGAGCCACTGCCTTCACATAATATAATCTTAAATTTCCAATGGCAGGTCTCGTACATCTATGTCCGTGCTTGCTCAAACCTATTCTTAGATTTTTTTTTTTTTTTTTTCTCGCATATAACTTAAATCTCTCTTCCTGGATTCTTCAGTTCAATACTTACCCATCCAAAGTAAATATGCAGAATACATGTTTCCTTAGAGTTAGTAACAACTTTTTACAAATTTGGCAACTATGTATGCGTCTTCCCTTAGTCTCTAGACTGAGTAAAACCAATTACCCTGATAAATTTTATTTTCCAACTCTCTGATATTGGAATTGTATCTTCCAACTCTCTTTTCCTTTGCAATCCAATTCATCTAACTTTCTCTTGTCTTGTAGTACCCAAACAAGCTAGATATCTACTATGTGCCTTAAATATTTTGCTCCTTGTTTTACATCCCATTATTAAGTTTGCATATGTTTATAACACTGATACTGTCTGCAGTTTGTGATCTGCTATATTACTGGGTTTCTGCAGAACTGCAATGCACTCAGTTAATTCTGATCTTGTATTTCTGCAGTCGATTATTCCCACTAGCTATATGACTTTGTACTTCTCTTTAATGAAATCTTTCTTACTTCTTTCCAAATGGTTTTCAGATTTGTCCAAATAATTTTGAATTCTAATCCTGTCCTCTACCATGCTACACTTTTTTCAGGCTTTGTATAAGTTGCAGATTTCATAAAAGTTTTTCTTTGTTGTATTATCTGAGTTACTTGAGTATTGGACAGTGTTAGCTACAGGACTGACCCCCTTGGACGAGTTACTTTCTCCCAGTTTGGCAGAGAACCACTGAGGTTCTTCTAGAACCTCCTTTGACCTCTATGAAGTCTCAAAGGTGGTAGGCAGCAGTTTGAAGTTGCTTCAGCATACTGAGATGAATTTCACCATGTCTAGCTTCGCTTTGGACACCAGCGCTTTCGGACTGAATTTCTAGAAGTTGTTTCTGAGATTACTGTCAGTTTTCATTGAACCTTTTTGCCTGGAGCACATCTTTGAAAAAAATCTCTGTGTATCCCAAACATTTCTCTTTCGGGAGGTATCAGCAGGATGCATAGTACCTGTTATTACACCAGCTGCCATTTGTAAGGGAGGGAGTGGAAAGGCACAGAAGCCCTTAGAAGTTTTTTTGGCAATAGAAGAATTTTGGTGATACCTGACACAGTTGTCTTCGCGATGCAG